AGATTTTCAGCTTTGGGTCATTTGCTCCTTTAATTGCATTCAGGTTCATTACTAATTTATATCTATTCCCTATCCAGTTCATCAGTGAGACAGGAGAAGCGACGCTCTCGTTTCAGAAGAATGGACGCTCTCTTGGAGTGGCGTTTCACCTGAACTCCTCAAGCCCTCTATCCACACGTGCTTTGCAAAAACTGTTCGGTTTCTGTAAATCTTGACCCAGAAACTCCCTGGCATCCTTTTCCCGCTGGTTTCTGCACACTGCTCGCACTTCCTCCTGGTCAAAGGTAGGAAAGTGTGTTAAACTCTAATGAAATGAAAGGATGTGAAGCTGTAAGCATCCTCTCACGATCATCCTCTCAATCTCTCAGGTGTTGATGATGGTTGGTTTGAAGAAAACGTTTCAATCTCCTGAGTACAAACTCTATTTTGAACTGCATGAGGGTGAGAAAATCTATCAAGATGAGTGTGTGAAACATGTCAGGAGTAAGCCCTGCTCACACGAAAATCCAGTCCAATTACAATTCGTCTGTTCATATCAATGTGGAAAGCGGCCGATGGGCTGAAAGAAAATGCTAATGCACTTATAGAAAAGAAATACAGATAAAAATAGCTCCCTGTCAACCACCATTTGATCTGTAATTCCATACCACAGCAGCTTATCGAAATGTTTGCAGTCGATGTGGAGTTTATCAAAAGGCTGTCAGCACCAAACACAGCAGCTGCTCAACGTCCAGATACAGGATTCTTCTTCTGTTCGCTCGGGAAAACCGTTTAGTTCACACATGCCACCAGCTTATAGACTTACGTCAGGGCATGTGACCAAAAGCCCAAATCTTATTGGCTGTCCATTATTCATCAAGCATGTTAAAAAATAGATTGACGGCATTGATTCACATTAAAATGTTTATTGCACCGAATTTTTTGTGCTGAATATTTATCATGGTGTAAATAGACCTTCACCTTACAGATGAGTTCCAGACTAGTACCCGTGTTATTTTAGCATTGTTTACACACAGTTATTATAGTTTTTTTTTTTATTATCAGGTATGTTTATTTTTTTTATTAGAGTATTATATATAATTATTATAGTATTTTTTTTATTTTAAGTTCTAATTTTAAGCTTTATTTTTATATACTTTTGCATTTTTATATATTTCTGTTTAGTTTTAATTTATTTGTTTCAGTTTTAGTACTTCAGGTATGTTTATTTTTTTATTAGAGTATTATATATAATTATTATAGTATTTTTTTTATTTTAAATTCTAATTTGAAGCTTTATTTTTATATGCTTTTGCCATTTTTATATATTTCTATTTAGTTTTAATTTATTTGTTTCAGTTTTAGTAATTTTAGTACTTTATAAGCATTTATATTAGATGCCATGGCTAATATTTCTATATTTTATTTCATCATTATTTCGCAACTCCGTTTTTGCCATGAAGATAACCTTAGATGCAGACATGGCAATGCAAAAAAATAACTACTACAGCTCAGCATTATTTCAATTAGCTAGAAACATTTTTATTAGTTTTAGTTAATAATAGCAACACTGACTAGTACAGAGTTCCCACAATCCTGAAAAACCTGCAGATCGCCTTAGGAATGAGTCCAATCTTAATCGTTCATTGAGCGCTGTTCCGTTTTTTTCCGTGTTTCCTTTCCCATAGGAGCCTCCTGGAGCCAATCACAGAGAGCTGATGTTGCAGCAGGCCACTCAGTGCGTCAGTCAGCTGATCAAAATATCTGCAACCAAGAGGAGGAACTACATCCTCGATCAGGTATAGTGAGGAATACGTGTGTGGTAAGGCAGGCCAGAGCTTCAGCAACACTCATATAAGTCCTCGCTTTCGTCTCCAAGGCCAACATCTATCCATCTGCCCGGCGACACAAGATGCTCTGTTTCCGTGGTTACCAGCGGAGAGCGGTGGTGGTGTTTCCACCTGATGAGGTGTGCAGGAGACGACTCGTACAGCGCCAGGAGCAGGAGGAGATGTCTCTTCTCAAAGCCAAAGGTCAGACCCGATCACAAGTGTCCAGACACATCACAGCTGCACACTCGTGAAACAGTTTTCATCTCTCTTCCCGTTTCCAGTGAGCTTCACACTGCCAGAGCAGGGAGAGCATCTGGATGAGGTGAGGTTTGCGGAGCTCAGCTCCGACGAGGCCCTGAAGCTCTTGACGCATTATAAAGAGGAAGCCCGCCGCCTCCTACCCTCTCCTCCCAAACGCAAAAAAACACAGACAAGGAAGTCAAAACCGCCCGGTTCATCATTGTGGTAAGAAGAGATGATTTCACTTTGAGATCTTGATTATAGAGCATGATATTGAATTTTCAAGTTATGAACATGTGCCTTTTCATTTTCCAAGGATGGAGGGGAGGTGCATTCGGCTCACGCTATGCATCCCAGAAAGCACAGGTCAGTTTGTTAGTGTGATGATGTTACACTATTAGTTAATCAAAACAAAATCTGTAGGAACTATAAAGATAATAACTATATTAGCGTTCAAACCAGCGGACAATGTCGTCTGTTTATTCTAAGCGCACACTCGCTGCCGCTTTAAATTCTCCAGCTTGTTGTTATATCAAGATTGATGCTGATTGGCCGTCAGTGTTTTTATCGTTCATCAGTGATTCCGGAGATATTGTTTCTCTGTGCCTTTATCGTTATAGCTGTAACGATATCTTTATAGTTATCGACTTTGGTGTGAACAGGCCTTAACATAGTATTTTTACTTTGTTACTGTACTTAAGTACATTTTTCAAGTATCTGCACTTTATCTAACTACATTCCAAAGCATAATATAGTACTTTTTACTCCACTACGTTTCTTAAAAACGTGGTTTCTTGTCATTTTGAACTTGAAGAAATCGCAAAAGACGCGATAGCGGTGTCCGATTCTTCAACGAGCTGATTCTTTTCAAATTGGTTCACAAATTGCACTGAATGATTCACACGTGAATCGGACTGATCGGATTGCAGCTCGGACTCGAGCTGTTCTCGAGTCAATGACTCACTGATTCAAATGATCCGGTCAGAGCGAGTCTCCAGTCAATGACACACTGATTCAAATGATTCGGTCAGAGCAAGTCTCCAGTCAAAACTTGCCTACCCCTGTTCTAGAAGGATGGCATCATGCCATACCTTTTACACATTTACTCGAATTGTTATGCTGATAATACAATTTCACTGGAGGAAGCGTTATTATGGGTTATGGACTCCTATTTTAGCCAGAAGCAACAGTTTAAAGTTAAAACGTCTTAATGATGGAATTGTTTCGTACAAACACACAGCTTTGGTCTTCTCCAGATGTTAACTGATGGACTGGAGTGGTGTGGATTACTTGTGGATTATTGTGATGTTTTTATCAGCTGTTTGGACTCTCATTCTGACGGCACCCATTCACTGCAGAGGATCCATTGCTGAGACACTGATGCAATGCTACATTTCTCCAAATCTGATGAAGAAGCAAAGGCTACGTTCACGCTGCAAGCAAATGTGGCCCAAATCCGATTTTTTTTTGCCCAAATGTGACTCAGATCTGTTTTTCTCATGACAGTCTGAACAGAACAAACCATATGAAATCTGATCTTTTCAATTCCGCACGGGGAAGTCGTGGCCTGATGGTTAGAGAGTCGGACTCGTAACCCAAAGGTTGCGGGTTCGAGTCTCGTACCGGCAGGGATTGTAGGTGGGGGGAGTGAATGTACAGCGCTCTCTCCCACCTTCAATACCACGACTGAGATGCCCTTGAGCAAGGCACTGAACCCCCAACTGCTCCCCGGGCGCCGCAGCAAAAATGGCTGCCCACTGCTCCGGGTGTGTGTTCACGGTGTGTGTTCACTGCTGTGTGTGTGCACTTTGGATGGGATAAATGCAGAGCACTAATTCCGAGTATGGGTCACCGTACTTGGCCACATGTCACGTCACTTGTGCCACTTCCATATGTCTATATACTCTATATACAAGCAAACATGAGGGCTCTTTCATAAAAGTTTCAAAACTCTGCTCTCTTTATTTTTCCTATTGCCTGCACATAATTTCGCTGGCTTCTGCGGCAGGTCACACTTACTTAATGTCCTCCGTGTTTACGTCCGTATGACAGCGCGCTGCGCAAGTGTTGCCAAGTCCACAGTTTTCCCGCAGAATTGGGCTACTTTTTCATCGTTGCTGAGGGTTGTTTTTCAACTCCGTGGGTTAAAGCGACCCCACTAATGCTATATTTACCCCCAGAACACGATTGCGCTAGTTTTGGACTAGTTTTGAGAAGCAGTTAGGCAGATTTTGTTGTGAAAACCTGGCAACCCAGTTCGTATTGTTCTTTTGCGCATGCGGGTCGGTTCAGAAGCATGATCTGTTCACACTGGTAATCTGATATTGGCCACTTTTAAAACAACAATGTGAACAGCTATACAAAAAAAATAATAATTGAGCAAAAACCAGAAATGAGCACTAGTGTGAACGTAGCCTAACTCATCTCCATCTTGGATGGCATGAGGGCGAGTACATTTTCAGCACTTTTTTTTTTTTCATCTTTAAATGATGTAATTACTCATGCTTATATGATCTGCTTGTGCAGTTATTCAGAGGTGGTAATCAGGCATCATCACCCTCTGATGCAGCAGTACTGCACCCTTCGCTGAAGGACACATCTCTGACCACAGGGGGCAGCGCTCGTTCAACTGGAACATTTTCTGTAGAATAGAATTTAGAAAATGACATCATCGTAGTATACAGAATGTCTTTTGAAATTCCTGTTTATGTACATGACTTTGTAACATTTGTATCCCATAAGCACTTTGCATAAAGAGATTGTGAATATGAATGAAGTAGTGGATTAGTCCGTATTTATATAAATGCTTACCGCTCGACTCAGAAACAGTATTTCAGTGGACTCGTGGGCCTCAGGACCTCCACGTCTATATAAATCTCTCAATTCTTCTGTTGTCAAAGTGCACCTTCACAGTAAATAGCACACAAACGAGTGTTAAACACAAACAGCTCACCATGTGGATGTGTAAGATCATATGAATGATATTTACCGGACATAAAACTCGGCACTGGGTCGTCCTGCACTAGTGTGGTTCAGCGCAATTCCCATAAACACCGGTTTGCTCAAAGAACTGACGGGAACGTTCACCTGTAATAAAAGAAAAATGGTGAGACCACAAAGCAGCATCAATTGCCACAACTGCCCGATACGGGATTGAAGCATCGTCTATCGAATGTAAATCCGTATTTATATAAATGCTTACCGCTCGACTCAGAAACAGTATTTCAGTGGACTCGTGGGCCTCAGGACCTCCACGTCTATATAAATCTCTCAATTCTTCTGTTGTCAAAGTGCACCTTCACAGTAAATAGCACACAAACGAGTGTTAAACACAAACAGCTCACCATGTGGATGTGTAAGATCATATGAATGATATTTACCGGACATAAAACTCGGCACTGGGTCGTCCTGCACTAGTGTGGTTCAGCGCAATTCCCATAAACACCGGTTTGCTCAGAGAACTGACGGGAACGTTCACCTGTAATAAAAGAAAAATGGTGAGACCACAAACCAGCATCAATTGCCACAACTTCCCGATACGGGATTGAAGCATCGTCTATCGAATGTAAATCCTGTGTGAAATATTATTACAATTTAAAATGGCTGTTTTCTATGTGAATATCTGTTCAAATGTAATTTAAAGCTGAATTTTTTATCATCATTACTTCAGTCTTCAGTGTCACATGATCTTCAGAAATCATTCTAACATGCTGATTTGCTGCTCAGGAAACATTTCTGATTATTATCAATGTTGAAAACAGTTGTGCTGCCCAATATTTTTGTGGAAACCGTGATGCATTTTATTTTTTCAGGATTCACAGATGAATAGAAAGTTTGAATTGGCATTTATTTGAATTAGAAATCTTTCATAATATTATAAATGTCACTTTTGATCAATTGAATGCATCCTTGCTAAACAAGTGTTACTTTCTTAAAAATAGATAAATCAATAAAATTACCATAAACTTTTGAGTGGTAGTGTAGCACACTAATGCTGCATCTGAAATCGAATATTTCCCTACTATATAGTATAGCGTTAGAATAACCAATGATTTGTTGCTGGCAGCTGACTCTGGGCTATTAACCATACATGTCCTTCTTGACTTGAGCGCAGCCTTTGATACTGTCTCACATAAGATACTCCTAGAAAGGTTAGCTTCTATAGGGATTACTGGCATTCCCCTGTCTTGGTTTAGGTCGTATCTTTCTGATCGCACTCAGCGTATTCAATTAAAAAGTTTCAGATCAAGAATATCTACAGCCACCACTGGTGTTCCCCAGGGTTTTGTTTTGGGCCCACTTCCGTTCATTATTTATATACTCCCTCTTGGTTACATTTTGAGGAAGCATGGTGTACATTTTCACTGTTATGTGGATGACACCCAACTTTACCTGTCTGCTAAACCCACTGATTCTTTTCCTCCACCATCTCTGTCCAGTTGTTTAGCTGAAATTAAAGATTGGCCTTTTAGCTAACTTCTTGAAGCTAAATGGCAACAAAACTGAGGCCCTACTTGTTGGCACTAGATCTGTTTTGTCTAAATCTAATAGTTTTTCCTTGTACATTGATAATAATGCAATTTGTCCTTCCTCACACGTTAAAAGTTTGGGTGTTATCTTGGATCCTTTGAAACTCAAATTAACAATATCACGCGGACTGCATATTTCCATCTGCGTAATATTAACCATCTCCGTTCCTTTCTTCCAACCGATAATACAGCAGTTCTTGTTCACGCACTAGTCACTTTGCGTATAGACTATTGTAATGCCCTTTTTACTGGTGTTCCCTCTAAATTGCTATATAAGCTTCTACTGAGCACATTTCTCCAGTTCTTCAGCAATTGCATTGGCTTCCAGTAAAGTATCTGCAGACTTTTAAAACGCCTCTTAAGACATATCTTTTTATTCAGGCTTTTTATAATATGTTTTGAGTCTTTACTGCACTTTATTTATATATGCTGAGTGGTTGTTGTGTGCTTTTGTCTTGTTGTGATTTGTATTTTTATCTTTTATCTTTGCCTGCTTGTGAAGTGACCTTGGGTGTTTTGAAAGGCGCCATTACATAAAATGTATTATTATTATTATTATGCAAAAAACAGTATGCCATGTTCATAATACTCTTTTCCAAATTCATAGTATTCGGAAAACTAGGCGAAAAGTACCCAGATGATCTACTATTTCTGTTAAGATTCTGAAGTGTGCAGTCGATGGACACTTTAGTATCCCATGAGGCCACGGGAGAAGACATGTACATGACAGTACTGTGACACAACAGTACCAACAGTCTTCTCACTGAAGCCCTGTCATTATTCAGCTGGGCATTAGAGGGCGCTCTGCCCGGGAAATGCATCAGTTCACCTATTTAATTGGGAAAAGAAAGAGTAACAGTGCATCTCAAATCATGTACTACATTTGAATTTAACCATTAAAAAAGTATGTTCTATATAGTATGAATGAAATTCGGACGTACTACATTCGCCATATGTCACGTGACCTACCAGCGTCAGTTGCGTCGCTTCACTGCCACTCATAAATCCTCTCCCGTGGCCTCATGGGATAGTAAAGTGTCCATCCAATGCACACTTCATGCAATTTCGGACGCAGCCTAACAGTAGGAATTGAATGCTCTACCCTCGTGGAGTTTTAGGCCTGTTGTCCCTGTTTGGCGCCAAAATATGCAACACCTATCCCTTAGACGTTTGTTTAATGTTACATAAGAGACCAAGAAGACTCATTTTTGGTTTCATTTCATGGGTATTAAAGTTATACAAAACATACAAATTCAACATGACACCAATAATAGAGGTCAAACAGAACCAGATTGGTTCAAAGTCATGCAGAACCATTCATTTTGCTCACAGTATTTGTTGAGAAATGAAATGAGAAAAAGCAGTACTTGAGTGCTAAGATGATTCCACAGCGAAATCCAACATGAAGAGTAATTTGGCATCAGTGTTTGAAGTGTGGCATTGGTGGTCAACAGGTAACAATTAAGCATTAGATAGAAATCAACTCGGACAATGAAACATTTCAATAAGCAGTCATAACCGTGTGCTACACACACTCAATATTAACATAGCAAGCCAAGATAATTATTCACAAATGAGCTTAATTTCCCATTGAACTGTCAGCAACTGAACTGCAGTGCTCAAGCTAATTCAGATATGTGACCCTGCAGCACAAAAACTTTAAAGATGATTTTCTCAATATTTTGATTATTTTGCACCCTCAGATTTCAGATTTTCAAATAGTTGTATCTCGTCCAAATATTGTCCGATCATAACAAACCATACATCAATGGAAAGCTTGTTTATTCGGCTTTCAGATGATGTATAAATCTCAATTTTACAAATTTGACCCTTATGACTGGTTTTGTGGTCCAGGGTCACATATAGTGAATTAAGCTCCAAACTCGATCATAATGCACCATGTTTCCATCTAACATGTATTTTTTTGAGCTGCAGCTCGTCACATTAATGGAGTGTTTCACTAGTTAGAAACCGGTTACCTCACCTGAATATGTTCTAGATTTAAGTGTTGGATGTTATCTTTGGAATGGAAATATGCATATTACACTCTACAAAATGCTGGGTTGTTTCAACCCAACTTTGGGTCAAATATCGGCTAACCCAACTTTTGGGTTAAAAATGTAGTTGAAAAATTTAACCCAACAGCTGGGTTAGTCCATATTTGACCCAAAGTTGGGTTGAAACAACCCAGCATTTTTTATAGTGTATATTATAAGAGAAAAAGGAATCCTGCAGGAATGAGCAGCTCTCAGTGTATCTGACCTTTGGCTCAGGGTGACCTCCAGGTATGTCTAACAGGCCTGCAGCCTCTGCCACTTTCTGGCTTCTCCTCAGCAGGACGACGTCTCCGTCAGCCGTGGCCACGACAGCACCGACCCCCAGCGGCTGAGCGAGGAAGGCCTGCGGATCTGTGCATTCGTTCTGTCCGTGACTCTGCAGCTTCCCCGCCTCTCGTGACCAGTTAGTCCCCAGATAGTCTTTATAACAGGTCAGGCCTAACTGTAACGTCAGCACACACGACTGCTCATCTTTTGCCAATCTTCCTGAGGATTTATCAGCACTTTCTAATTGCGAGCACGTTAGGTTTTGGGCGGCCTGTTCTGCCACGGGTCCCTTTTCCATGACGGAGAGCACCGCTGAATGCAATCTGAATTTAGCTCCATTGAAGAGCCACGGTTCTTTGGCCACTCGGTCACTCCACACAGCTTCAATGTGCTGCTCGATTTCAGGAAAACTCTTGACGATTGAACCTAGTGTGGGATTGTAGGAAGTCAGAGATTATATTTTTTGCAGCATCAAAAATGTATAGGCGAGAGCGGGGTGATTTGAGCCTTTGGGGAAGTCGAGCCTTGTTTCTAGACAACCTTAGAGAAAATCGGTGATGTGGCCACAAATATATGAGGATTTTTCCATTTTACTCACCCTGTGATGGAGAGAGGCCTGTGGAATAATTGGTAAAAAACTGTTTTTGCTGTTCAAAGTGATTTTTTTTAATGTTCAAGGACTCATGCTTCTTGTGTCTGAACAATTACAGACAAATCTGAAAAAATACCACACGTGTTTGTGCTTCAGGAGGCTATAATATGAGGCTATACTGTTAGATCTAATCTGCTGGATGATGCAAGCTTGTTCAAATGTTAGGGGTGCAGTAATCTGAGCCAAAGGTCCTGGGGTAAGTTGAGCCAGTGGCTCAATGATTATAAAGTATTATTTTACTGTAATTCTACATTAATCTTAGACCAAACATTTTTGGTTTTGTTCTCTTTTTTGAACTTGATTTTGTTCTGATCTGTGGCCTTGTTTATGAAAATTGGCCATTGAAGTTTTATGAAATTATATTTCCCTGCAATATTTGGGATGTTGAGTACTATTAGCCCAGTTCTGTAAGGTAAGGTCAGTTGCATTCCGTTTTTTTTTTTTTTAGTTCTTCAATTTGAACTTTTTGTTCTAAATAGTTTAAAAAATGCCTTCAAAGTTGTGAACTGTATCTTTAAATAAAACTTTTCAGAAGTCATCCATCCATCCATTCTATCCTCCAAAGCTCTCTGTGCTTGTTAAAGCTGCGGGGAGCTGGATCGTAACCCAGCGTCTTGAGCCGCAGGTGAGGAAACTCCCGGCACGGATGCTCAGTCCATCACAAGCCTCAGTCATTTTTATTGAATCTCTCTTCTTTTGATATAGCAATGTTCAGTTTTACTTCAGCACAATCAATGGCACAGTTTAACTCCATGTGGCTCAACTTACCCCTCAATGGGGGCAAGTTGAGCCAAGAGACCACTTTTATTTTGGAAAGGCATATCTTGAAAGCGGTTTATTTTAGATCCAAAGTGATTATCCCCAAGGATGCACCACATCCTGAAATGTATGTACATATTTAAGTTGGACCCGTTACCGTCATGCGCTCACTTTAAACACACCTGAAGTAAAAACTGGCTCAACTCACCCCATTCTCCCCTGTGTATAAAGTCTGTTTTTCGTAACTGGTCACCATTTCCTCACTACAGCCCTATTTTGTGACAACATAATATTTAAAAGTACAAATATTCTTAACTAATATGACACTAAAAAATAATTTAGAAAACATATTTATGATGGAAAGATACTGTACCTGTCTGAAATTTCTACATGAATTTGATTTTCTCCAAGAGCCTGTAATGGATCACAGTGCAGCATGAGAGACACCTCTGGATCCATCACAAAACCCTTGCAAACTCTTCTTAGTGTGCTGCCTACCCAGATATGATTTTTGAACAGTGTACATCTAGACGGAAAGTTTGTTTTGAGACAGTTAATCAATTATGAATCAACTGACAGATATCTACTATATAAAAAGAAACAGTTAGGTTTACAAACGTTTAAAAAACAGCGAAATAATTTAACAAAGATTCCGTTTAATTTTTTTAATTAAAAAGTCACTTTTGAGACAGCTACTTATTCTGTTGTTTACAATACACAGCTAGTAACCAAAACTTACTTCCTTCTCTAAACCGAACACAGGCGGACTTTTAACACCACAACTTCCGGGAGCGCCGCACTTCAAAATAAAAGTCTGTAACCTGAGCGACGGAGAAGAGAAAATAGAAATAACAACTAAACGTACTGTACTAAGTTTAAATAAAGCACACGGTACACGCTATATTTTCTTCATCTCTTAAAAACATGTGTATTTTCAGAGAAGCTCACCTGAGAATCCAGAATTATTAATATTAATAATATTAAAAAATGCCTTCAAAGTTGTGAACTGTATCTTTAAATAAAACTTTTCAGAAGTCATCCATCCATCCATTCTATCCTCCAAAGCTCTCTGTGCTTGTTAAAGCTGCGGGGAGCTGGATTCTTAACCCAGCGTCTTGAGCCGCAGGTGAGGAAACTCCCGGCACGGATGCTCAGTCCATCACAAGCCTCAGTCATTTTTATTGAATCTCTCTTCTTTTGATATAGCAATGTTCAGTTTTACTTCAGCACAATCAATGGCACAGTTTAACTCCATGTGGCTCAACTTACCCCTCAATGGGGGCAAGTTGAGCCAAGAGACCACTTTTATTTTGGAAAGGCATATCTTGAAAGCGGTTTATTTTAGATCCAAAGTGATTATCCCCAAGGATGCACCACATCCTGAAATGTATGTACATATTTAAGTTGGACCCGTTACCGTCATGCGCTCACTTTAAACACACCTGAAGTAAAAACTGGCTCAACTCACCCCATTCTCCCCTGTGTATAAAGTCTGTTTTTCGTAACTGGTCACCATTTCCTCACTACAGCCCTATTTTGTGACAACATAATATTTAAAAGTACAAATATTCTTAACTAATATGACACTAAAAAATAATTTAGAAAACATATTTATGATGGAAAGATACTGTACCTGTCTGAAATTTCTACATGAATTTGATTTTCTCCAAGAGCCTGTAATGGATCACAGTGCAGCATGAGAGACACCTCTGGATCCATCACAAAACCCTTGCAAACTCTTCTTAGTGTGCTGCCTACCCAGATATGATTTTCGAACAGTGTACATCTAGACGGAAAGTTTGTTTTGAGACAGTTAATCAATTATGAATCAACTGACAGATATCTACTATATAAAAAGAAACAGTTAGGTTTACAAACGTTTAAAAAACAGCGAACTAATTTAACAAAGATTCCGTTTAATTTTTTTAATTAAAAAGTCACTTTTGAGACTGCTGCTACTTATTCTGTTGTTTACAATACACAGCTAGTAACCAAAACTTACTTCCTTCTCTAAACCGTACACAGGCGGACTTTTAACTGCACAACTTCCGGAAGCGCCGCACTTCAAAATAAAAGCGAGCGGAACCTGAGCGACGGAGAAGAGAAAATAGAGATAACAACTAAACGTACTGTACTAAGTTTAAATAAAGCACACGGTACACGCTATATTTTCTTCATCTCTTAAAAACATGTGTATTTTCAGAGAAGCTCACCTGAGAATCCAGAATTATTAATATTAATAATATAATTATTTCTTCGTTTTCCATAAGTTTTCCACATCAAGTGAAATTAGCTCAATTATCATATCTTGTTTTATACATAATTAATTATTTTGTCTTGGTAACACTAGGCAGCTTCTCCTAAGGGGTCTGACGAGATTATTTGAACAGAATTATATGAATAGAAAATTGCAATTTACTTAAACTGAATTCTCTTGCTACATCAATAGTATTTGCATACTTTTCTACACTTTTCTTTTCTTATCCCAAGTGAGGAGTAAAATGCCTGTTTAGCTGACTTTTAAATTGACACAGGGTTGCTCCATTAATATTTAATAAACAAAATCAATTCTTCAATCATCATACACTTTGAAAGCAGAGAAAAATATATTCTGTGCTTAATATATAACATTTACAACATACTGACATTACAATGACAAGCCAACTGAATTTTGCTGAATTTTTTATTTTTCATATGGGATTTTTTTTTTTTTTTTACTTTTTTTTGTGTGTGTGTGAAACCAAAGCCAGCCTGACCAAATTACACAGACATAAATTAAATAAATAGTCATGTGACAGACATTCTCATCTATTACTTTCTTAATACACACATCAAGTTGCCCACAGTTAAGGCAACTTCTTTTCTGGACATCGAGAAGAGAGAGGTTGCCCATGAGACAACCGTCTGCAATTCCCAGGTTTTAAAAAACAATGTAAAAGTGTTCTAATAAGACAAACTAACTACACTTGTTATATTCTGTCCAGAACTAGAAGTGTTAAAATTTTGCCATTCTTGTTTAAGGGATAGAAAGTGCGAGACAAGACCACCAACCTAAAGAACAGAACTTAAAATAACATAACTGGTCATCAAAAAAAGAAAAATATCCTTTAAGCCAATTAAACACCCCCATATATAACTATTATACAGAAGAAAAAAAAATGTGTGTAAGAAAACAACAAAATTGAATTGCATAATTGATTTGAATATTCTAAGCATTAATGCATCAGATAAAAAGGTAATGTTAAGCAAAACATTGCCGCAAATTATCTGATACATGTGGTCAAGTCATTAAGCATCTTCATTATAAGAATGGCCAGTGCAAAAAAACAGGTTAGTGTTTTACAAAGCAATGCATCACAAAAAAATTCAACTTCTTATCGACAGGTGCATTTGGTAGCGATCATCTCCTCGTACTCCTTGTAGGCAATGGAGCCGTCGTTCTCAATGGTCAAAACACTTAACGGATTA